TTGATTCTCCTCCTGTCCCACTATCATGCTCAGTCCCCACCAGGATTTCAGCACTTCCTCTTTGTTACGTTCCCCTTGTTCCTACCCTACCAGGGATGCTATATCTTTTGATAGTCGGGCACCATTAGCTTTCTTCACCACATTTGCTTTTGCACCCATTTTGTCTTCAGTGGTCTTTTCGGGAAGGTGAGTGTCACAGAATGCCAGGTTATTAGAAAAAGGTGTTTTTGTATTGAGGGAGTACTTGCGTAGAGGCCCAGTGTCCGTCTGCTACTTTACTACTTAACCAATAAATATATGGACATAGATATATTTCCCTATCATTATATGTAAATATATTTACATATGTACCTATGTTCAATAGTCTTTGCAATATTGCAGTTCAAATACAGGAAGTTCTTCAATCTTCCTGTTCAGTTTTTGCATGTTTTCTTAGGTTAATTGAAAAGACCATGGTTAGTTCAAGCACACAGCAGAACCAGCACCTGGAGCATGAGTCACCGTGGTGGACCTCCCAGGCCACAGAGCAAGTAAGGCTCAGTGCTTTGGGGGCAAAAGGCTGCCTTGTGGAGTTGGGTGCCTCTGGGCACTTAATTGGGGGAACTGAGCTGACCCATGGAGGTGGAGCTGAGTGCTTCCTGGCTGACATCTTTGTGTGAAGTGTGGCATTGCTTTTTAAAACTTTAAAAAGGACAGATGTGTTTGACACAATGGATGGATGGATGAATTGTGATAAGAGTTGTAGGAGCCCCCAATAAAATGATTTTAAAAAGAAAAACAACTTTTAAAAGTTGTGTGTGTGTGTGTGTGTGTAGCTCTGGTGGCATAGTGATTACACGGTGGTCTGCAATCTGAAAGGTTGGCAGTTCAAAACCACTGGAGAAAGATGGGGCTTTCAACTCCGGTAAATAGTTACGGTCTTGGAAACCATATTAGTCTGGGTACTTTAGAGAAACAAATCTACAGAAACTCATGTATAAAAGAGAGTTTTATATATAGGTTAAGTGTGCATCAAGAATACATCCCAACCAAGGGCTGCCCAAGCCCGCAAGTCCAACATTAACCCATATGTCCAACACCACTCCACAAAGTCCTCCTCCATCTCACAAAACACACACAATGATGCCGACTGCAGGAGGAAAGCCGAATCAGGGAACGTGTAAGCATCTCAGCGCTGGCAGGGGTCTCCACACGGTTGCTATGTGGCTTCTCCTCGGGGATGTCTTGCAGGAAGTCAGCCTTGCAAGCTGAAGCAGGGAACTGCTAAGGCAGCTGCACCCTGGTGCGACCATCAGAAAGCGAGAGATCTGAGAACTCGAAAGGCGAGGCTCACTGAGTCATTTATCCCTCTGCCCTTCAATTAATCCCACATGTGTTTATCGGCCAGGTTAGCAAATAAACTAACTCAGAAACTCACAGGGTCAGCTCTACCCTGTCCAATAAAGTCACGAGGCGTCAGTATTGATTGATCACAATGAGTTTGGTTTGGTTGGGGGTGGGGTGGGGTGTTGTTGGCGTATCAGTGTCGATTTACAAAATGCAATGCGCGGGGTCACTTATTGATGCCTACTTCCTTGCACTTTGGTTGTTGATCCAAGTAGAATGCAATCATTGACATCCTCGGGTTATTTTCTCCCTTTAACATGGCGGTGTTTTTCAGTCTAGTTGTAAAGATTTTGGCTTTCTTCACATACAGGTGTAATCCATGCTGAAGACTATCTAGCCTTTGACCTTCAGTAAGTGCGTCAAATCGTCTTCACTTTCAGCAAGCAAGGTTGTGACCCCTACAGAGCACAGGTTGTCAGGGAGTCTTCCTCGGTTGGTCCTGCCGCTGTGCTCTGCATCGCAGAGTCCAGCTTCTCAGGTTATTTGTAAAGCGTGTAGTGTAGATTGGTTAAGTAAAGTGAAAGGCTATAACCTTTTCCCATGGTGAACCACACCGCACTGCCTTGTTCTGTTCAGACAACTGCCACTTGATCCATGGGCAAGTTCCACCTGAACACAAGTAAGAGTTCCAGAATTCCCACCATTGGTTATGATCCATCCAGTCAAATGCTTTTGTATCATCAATAAAACATGGTCTTAGTTCTCTAGTGCTGCTATAACAGAAACATCACAAGCAAATGGCTCTAACAAACAGGAATCTATTCTCTCACAATGGAGGACCCAGAAGTCTGAACTCAGACCGCGGAGGCAAGAGGAGGACTATCTCCCTCTGTCAGCTCTGAGGACTAATCCTGGCCATCCATCTTCCCCTGGGTCTAAGAATTCTTAGTGCTGAGTCCCTGGGTCTAAAGCTTGTACTCCGGCTCCTAGCTTTTCTTTCTTGGTGGCAAAAAAGTCCCTTCCGATCTTCACTTGTTTATTTCATCTCTTTTGTATCTCAACAGAGATCGACTCAAGATACAACCTAATCCTGCAGATCTTACCCTGCTTCATTCACATAACTGTCACAAATCTTTCACATTAGCATCATGCAGGTTAGGAGACACAACACACAGGTCACAGCATGGAAGGTGACACACAAGGCTGAGAATCTGGGCCTAGCTACATTGACATATATTTTGGGGGTAGAGGGGCAACATAGTTAAATACACAACAACAGGTAAAACATCTTTCTAGCATTTTCTGCTGTTTGTCTTACTTTTCCTGATCCCTAATTCTTACTGTGTAGGCCAGCCAATCTCAGACTTTTTGGTCTCTGTCGGTATCCCTTTGCACTCTTAAAAAACGATTGTGACTCTCAAAGAGCTTTTGTTTATTGTTCATGGTGGTCGTATTATAAATTAAAACATTTTTTAAAAATTGAAACTTTTTTTTTTGCCAGTCTGCCCAGGGTCTTGCAGATCCCTCCATCTGTACAGCCCAGGACAAAGTGTGTGTTTGGGCCATTCCTCCTGTTTTCCAGAC